TCTGGAAAATTTAAGGGGTAGTTATATAATAATTTTGGACGATCTCGGGCGGTCAGATACTTATGACTGCTACTGTATTATCTTAAAGCAAGATTATGATGATGATAATAAGAGATTATATTCAGGATCTAGAGAAACAGAATATGATGCTTCTCAAATACTTTTTAGTTTTTTAATTGAAAATGTTTCTGTAAAACAAATAATTCAAGTTTAGCATATTAAATGAACTGAATATTCAACAATTGTAAGTTATATTATTTTACTTAATGATAGTACACATATTTGTATATATATGATATTAATTAATAAAGGCATTATTTGTCATCATTTTTTTCACGTTAGAATTTACTCAAATTAAGCAATTTTTTACATTAATCTTATTTCTTCTTATTGATATAAGAATCTAAATATTTCACATAATGATCTTTTTGTTTAAATTAAACCCATTCAAATATCTTATACTAATGACTTATATACTTTATCAATGCATCAAATTACTTTAAGTTATTTATTATTAACTTAGAATACTTCAACTCATAATAATATTACATCAAAAGGGTCTAAAGTACTCTATGTGAAACTGTATTAACTATTTAAAAAATTTATTGATCTAACAATTAGAGATGATATATATAAAGAATTTAATATACTTTTAAAAGGATTTATTGTAGATGTTTAATAAAAAAAGAAATTTATTGAACCTAAAAATTCTACATTTGAAGTGAAAAATCCTATTATTACACAATATAAAAGAAAACTTTCAAAAAGGTTAAATCTAGTATTAAAATTACTAAATCTAAAAGCAAATAAGTATTAAATGAGAGTACTAATATTTATATATTTAATAATAATAAAAGTAGTCAGAATATTACAAGTACATGTAAAAGAAAGTGTAGTAAATGTAAACAAATAGGTCATTATGCAAAGACATATCCTAATTAATATTATATATTTAATAATTGATACATGAAATAAAAAAGATTTTAAAATAGTCTTTGATGTATATTATCAAAATATTTTAAGTAATAGCTCAGATTACTACTGTAATTCAAGTTGGATCAGCTTAAATTACAGTAGAAATCTGAGCTTAACTTCCTTCAGTCATTAGAAAATAATTTTATTTTCTATAAATCAGTTATTATACTATATATTGCATAAATATTTTAATATTTTAATTTTTAATAAAAAAATATCAGTACATTATTTAATATTACACAAAATTTATTTGTACTATAGAGTATTATACTTACTTATTGAATACAAATAAAAATTTCAAATTAGATTTATCTAAATCTGATTTTCATTTATATATATTTGATTCAAATTTGGTTTGCCAAATTAGTTTAAATCTAAATTTAATCTAAATTTAATATATTAAAGTTCAATCTAAATCTGATAAATTAATTAAAATCTAAATCAATATCTGATTTAAACTTAGTTAAAAAGAATTTAAAAAGTTTTTCTATTAAAAAAAAAATAAATTTTTAGTTATTCTAATTAAATAATAATAAATTATTCAATTAAAATAATGATGAATTATTCTAATTAAATGATAATAAATTGTTTAAAAAAATGATAATAAACTATTTAAGAAGAATGATAAAAGGATTAGCGTCTTTAGTTTAGTTAGTAACAACTGAATTTCTATTGTGAGTTATACTATAATATTCATAAGTTCAAGCCTCAGTTGAGATATGAAACTGGATGATTTTCATTTTATTATAACTGAGTATGTAAGCATATAAACTAATATATATTAATAATTATTCAATTGACCTATTAATTGATATTAAACACTTAAATACTAGATTTAAAGAATATGTAGATGCAAATATAGCTAGAAATTAACAGAAACTTAACTTTCACTAAGGGCGCTGACATATATTAGCTAATATAATTTTAATATAAGCGTTTACCCCCCCACCCTCAGGTAAGATGATCATGTGCTTCCGATCATTTGCCTTTTTTGATTCATAAGTTAAAAGTTAATCAAGAAACATAAATGATAAAAAAATAAAATTTCAATTCGTAAAATTTTAAATTAAATTTT